CCATCCATCCCTGCCTCCCCCTGAGGCCGCTTCTGGGCCAGCAGCCTCTCCCTCCTGCCAAATCCAAAGACGTCTTTCAGGCCCGGGTACTCACTACAGGTGCAAGCCCTTCCTAGCGTCCCCCGCCTCGCAGTCACTGCCTCTGCACCCCTTTCGCAGGCTCTCACTCCCCCAGGTGCTGGTACTCCCCATGCCCTGCCCTCCAGCCTGTCTTCTCTGTGTCTGCGCTGTCTGGATGCGTCCTTCTGACCTTTGGTTTCCCCCATGACCTTCTTGCTCATGACTTCAGCCCTGTGTCTCCAACCTGACCACACCCCGAGCGGCAGACCGCACCTGCCGACCTGCCTGACGCTGCACCCAGTGTCCCCTCAGCCCAGTCTCGAAAGCAGCGCTCACCCTTCCACTCCATGCCAGCTCTTCCCCGTCGCAGTGCAGGCACCGCCAACATTCCTGGTGGACCCAGAGTCCTGAGCCTGACTTTTCTTGCCTTCTTTCTCTCTTTGACCCCACATACCAGGAGCCCCGTCATCTCCACTCTTTAAGAGTCTTCCACCAGGGAGGCTAAGGCAGGAGAATCGCTTGAACCCGGGAGGCAGAGGCTGCAGTGAGTCGAGATCATGTCACTGTACTCCAGCCTGGCCACAGAGCAAGACTCCATCTCAAAAAACGAAAAAAGAAATGGTCTGTTTTTATGTTGTCCACTCCCCTGAAGACCACACACTTCCCGGAGCTTTGTGGAGGCGGGAACGCTGAGTCAAATGTCCCAGCCCTTGATTCAGGTCTCCAGGAAGTACAGCCTGAGGTTGACACTTGGGTTTCTGGGACCAAACAAGCTGAGGCTGAGCAGGTTGACCGTGCCAGTGGCTGCTGTCTTTGGCCTGGCCTGCATTTCCTGGAGCTCCAGGGCCGTTTCCCACTCTTCTTTTTATGCCGTGGTGGTGTATGTGTGACTTGCTTGATGCCCCACCTGGAATTGGCCTGCCTCTAATGGATGCTCAGAGAAATCACATGCAGGGACCTGCTTCCTTACTTTTTGATTAACTGATGAATTCAGGGAACATTCCTAGCACAGAGATTGGCACAGATTAGACACTCTGTCAATACCAGAGCGTTTCTTTTCACCCATTAGGGACAAAGTTGACACTGGACCCCTGAACAAACCACTTGTTAGCCCAGATTATGTTGGAGTACAGCATCGCATGCTGGTTTTTTATGATTTAAAGTTGTCGAAAGTAACGACCTACCAGAGTCCTCCTTTGGCTCCCTGCATTTGAGACTCACTCTATTCAACATAAAATAACTGTGTCAGAAAAGTGTGACCCTGATGATGCCATTGTTTCTTTGCAACAACTGTCCCATCTCAGCAGACTTGACAAGGCCTTTTACCTAGTTTAAATCTCAGCCAAATCAAGATGTAAATAGAAATTTAATTTTAAATAGGAGCTGAGTTTTTTCAGAATTGTGAATGCAGTGTGTGTGTGGTTGGCAGCATAATGGCCCTCACAGGTGTCTACATTCTAATCCTGAACCTGGGAAGATGTGACCCTGCATGGCCAAGGGGAGGTAAGGTTGCAGATGGTGTTAAGGTTGTAGTATGGACTGAACTGCGTCCTCTTCAAAATGTCTTTGTCGAAGTCCTAATATCCAGCATCTCAGAATGTGACCTTATTTGGAAGTACCGTCACAGCAGATGTAATTAGGTAAAATGTTATCATTCAGAAGTAGGATGGGGCCCTGATCCGGTATGACAGGTGTCCTTATGAGAGGAGGGTCACGTCAGGACAGACACACAGAGAGGACCCTGTGGGAAGATGCAGGCGGGGGCTGGAGTGATGCTTCTGCTCGCCAAGGAGCACCAAGGCTTGCCGGCCACCGCCAGAACCTAGGAAAGAGACCCAGGACACATTATCCCTCAGAGACCTTGGAAGGACCAGCCATGCTGACACCATGGTTTTGGACTTCTGGCCTCCAGGACTGAGAGAGAATAGATTACCATCGTTGTGGGCGACCCAGTTCGTGATGCTTTTATCGACAATCCTAGCAAACTAACACAGGTTGGCAGTCAGCTGTGATGCTTTTATTGGCAATGCTTTTATCTGCAAACTTTAAGGCCAGCTGATTATCGGGTTGGTGATCAGCTGGCCTTAAAGTAGGTTATTCTGGATTATCTGTGTAGGTCTGGGGTCATCACAAGGGTCCTTTCAAGCAGGAGATGGGGCAGAAGAGAAGCTCAGAGTGACACAGTGTGAGAAATGCTCCCCTGCCACTGCCGGCCTTGAGGAGGGAAGAGAAGGGCCCAAGCCCAGGAATGAGGCAGCACAGGGCTGGCAAAGGCAGAAAACAGATTCTTCCCCAGAGTCTCCCGGCACGCAGGTTTTAGATTTGAAAGACTTGTGCCAGACTTCTGACCTCCAGAAGTGTAAGATAATAAATCAGTGTTGTTTTGAGCCATTAAGTTGGGGGTAATTTGTTACAATAGCAGTAAGAATACAAGGTCTCATATGGTCACCGAGCTGCCTGAAGCGTTCAGCAGGATGATTTAACTTGAAGCATGTGCAGAGGAACTGAGAGAGTGCCAGGCAGGAAAGGAAGCAGGTCCGTTCTGACACCTGCAGAGGAACGGGAGAAGAGGTGCCCTGAATGGCAGGCGTGTTAACCGTGGCTTCGTAAAGAATTAGTTTCAGCCAGGCACGGTGGTTCATGCCTGTCATCCCAGCACTTTGAGAGGCCGAGGCAGGTGGATGCCAGGAGTTCAAGACCAGCCTGGCCAACATGCCAAAACTCCATCTCTACTAAAACTTCAAAAATGAGCCGGGCATGATTGCTCATGTCCATAATCCCATCACTCCGAGAGGCCAAGGTGGGCAGATCACTTGAGGTCAGGAGTTCAAGACCAGCCTAGCCGACGAAACCTGAGACATGGCGAAACCCTGTCTCTACTAAAAACACAAAAATTAGCTAGGCATGGTGGAACACAGCTGTAATCCCAGCTACTTGGGAGGCCAAGGCACCAGAATCTCTTGAACTCAGATAGAGGCTGCAATGAGCCGAGATGGTACCATTGCACTCCAGCCTGGGTGACAGAATGAGAGTCCATTCAAAAAAAAAAAAATTACAGTATCATGACTTTTTTTTTTTTTTTTTTTTTTTTCTGAGAAGGAGTTTTTGCTCTTGTTACCCAGGCTGGAGTGCAATGGCGCAATCTCGGCTCACCGCAACCTCCGCCTCCTGGGTTCAAGCAATTCTCCTGCCTCAGCCTCCCTAGTAGCTGGGACTACAGGCATGCGCCACCATGCCCAGCTAATTTTTGTATTTTTAGTAGAGACGGGGTTTCACCATGTTGACCAGGATGGTCTCGGTCTCTCGACCTCGTGATCCACCCGCCTTGGCCTCCCAAAGTGCTGGGATTACAGGCTTGAGCCACCGCGCCCGGCGGTATCATGACTTTTAACAACTTGCTCCCAGCCACCCACTGATAGCATTGTTTTCATTACGGTCAGGTGCACGCACAGTTTACCATCTTGAGCATTTGTAAATGTCCAGTTCGGTGGCATTAAGTACATTCACCTTGTGCAGCCACCACCACCATCCAACTTCAGAACTTTTCTGCCTCCTTCAGCTGAGTGTAACTCTCTATTTCCCCTTCCCCTGAGCCCCTGGCAACCACCATTCTACTTTGTCTCTATAAATCTGACTACTCCAGGTACCTTGTGTAAGTGGAATCGCACAGATTTGTCCTTTGGTTGGCTTCTTACTCTTGGCATAAAGCTCATCCATGTCATAGCATGCATCAGAATTTCCTTTTGACAGCTGCATAATATTCCCCTGTATGCACGTACCACACTTTATCTTTTCATCCTTTGATGGACACTTGGGTCACTTCTACCTTTGGCTATTGTAAATAATGCTGCTGTGAACACAGGGGTGCAGATACCTTACCATATCATTTTTTTTTTTTTTTTTTTTGAGACAGGTCTCACTCTGTGGCCCAGGCTGGAGTGCAGTGGCATGATCTTGGCTCACTGCAACCTCCGCCTCCCAGGTTCAAGTGATTCTTCTGCCTCAGCCTCCTGAGTAGCTGGGACTACAGTTGTGTGCCACCATGCCCAGCTAATTTTTTTTTTTTTTTGTATTTTTAGTAGAGACGGGGTTTCACCATGTTGGCCAGGCTGGTTTCAAACTCCTGACCTTGTGATCCGCCCACCTCGGCCTCCCGAAATGCTGGGATTACAGGTGTGAGCCACCGCGCCCAGCCTGAGCGAGTTTTAGAAGAACTCTTTCAGACACCAACCTCAACAGCCTCCATCTTCCCACGGCCCACAACCTGCCACTGTAAAGCGTCACAGCCACCTAAGCTCTGGAAAGCAGGGGGCGCCTGCTTCTGGTTAATCAAGCTAGGGACAGTGTGGGATGGGGGGTCCTTTGTCACGGGCTATGTCAGTCCCCTGTTGCTGCAGCGACAAACAACTCTGACTTCTCGGTCGCTGACAGCAGTGCAGGCGGTACGGGCTTTCCTGGTGCTGGGACTCTTCTCCCCGCAGAGAGTAGGAGACAGAATCAGAGCCAAACCGCATAACCACGTTCAGAGCTTCTGCCGGAACGCGGCCAGCATCCTGTTCACTCACACCCCGTCGAAAGAAGCAGGTCCCGTGACAACAGGTGGATATGTAATCCCCTGCAGGGAGGCCGTGACCAGATAATCCCGTCCGCTGTAGGGGTGTTCGTTGCAGAAAGATGTCTGTGCCAAGGAGCCCATCCAACCAGAGGACCGCTCAAATCGCTCCCTCTGCGCCGTTACTCAGAGTTTCGTCCAAGGGTGACTGAAAAGCTTCCTGAGTCTGCCTCCGTCTTGCAATCTAAAGGTTTTCCATTAATCCCCGGCAGTCTTTGTAGATTGCCCACCACAAGGCAGCAATTCCAGGACCCAGCTGGAAGGCTCTCCGGAGAGGCTGGCCTCTCACCCGAGTCGTTCTCTCTCTGTCTTTCCTTCTGTCTGGCAGGTGGGTGGCAGGCCCGTGGAGCTCCTGCTCTGCGACCTGTGAGAAAGGCTTCCAGCACCGGGAGGTGACCTGCGTGTACCAGCTGCAGAACGGCACACACGTCGCCACGCGGCCCCTCTACTGCCCAGGCCCCCGGCCAGCGCCAGTGCAGAGCTGTGAAGGCCAGGACTGCTTGTCCATCTGGGAGGCGTCTGAGTGGTCACAGGTGGGTGCCTGGGCTTGCCGCCAAGACTCAGCCACAGGGACTGCAGCACGGTTCCATGGTATTGGTGACATTCTGGTGCCTCCTAGCCCTCGCTCACCCCCAGGTCAGCTCAAAGATGTGTTCTAGCTCAAATGTTCTTAATATCCATCTCTGGACAGCGCAGTGGCTCACGCCTGTAATCTCAGCCCTTAGGGTGGCTGAAGCAGGGAGATCACAGGTCAGGAGTTCGAGACCAGCCTGACCAGCATGGTGAAACCCAGTCTCTACTAAAAATAATTAGCTGGGCATGGTGGCACGCGCCTGTCGTCCCAGCTACTCAGGAGGCTGAGGCAGGAGAATTGCTTGAACCTGGGAGGCAGAGGTTTCAGTGAGCTGAGATTGTGCCCTTGCACTCCAGCCTGGGCGACAGAGCAAGACTCCATCTTAAAAAGAAAAATGTCATCTCAGATAACAACGTGGCTACAAAAACATAGATACCATGTCTTTGATGATGTATAGGTTGACACCACAGTGAAGGACCATTCCGTCCCATTTCCTATGAAAATTCCCACGTCAAGATAGGACAGAGAGATACTGACCGGCTTTTTAATTCCCCTTTGAGCATATTTAACGGCGGTGCGCTCAGGCTGGGAAGGTGCTTTCAAAGGTTTTCCTTTAATCTCCCAGCAGTCTTTGTAGATTGCAAGAGTCAGATGCCAGGAGGGACAGCTTTTAGTGTGCAAGTTGGAGTTACAAATCGCATGCCATAAAGTGTTTTGGAAAGAAGTGGATTAAGCCTACGTCTTCACTTTGAAGGTTGGTCCTGGGAATACGATTTTATCTTTGGTGATGTCATCCTTCAGGACTTTGCATTGACTTTGCATTAATAATTTTGACTGTTTGGCTGTAAAACTACAAAGAAAAATAGCTGAATAAAGGGCAGGTTCCCCTCAGGTCTTCCACCAGCGTAGTCTCGGAAACTCGGAGAGGCTCATCCAAGACACTCTTTAGTGTGGAAAATATTTTTAAAGTTCCCTCTATTGCCAAACAGTTGGAATTATTTTGAATAAAAAAAGTATCCAGCCCATTTTAATGAACGAAAGTCTTCCATTGGCTGCTCTAAAGTGGAGGTTAGTTTCAAACAGATCTTGGCTTGTATTCCTTTATAGATCAGAATCTTTATCCTATGCTTTATGGAGTTGTAGAAAAAGAGAAGTTGAGCTTTTGTTGATTTTTTTTTTCTGTATATATGCTTATGTTTGTCAGCTTTAACATTCAAGGGACTGCTTTTTGCCACTTGCTGGAAGGGTCCAGGCACGTATTCAGTCCCCGCCCCTTGCCAGGACCCTAGGTGAGCCTAGGTTTTAATTGCCTCGCTCTTGATCTAAATAATTATGCTTTGATCAGATCAAAACCATAAATTTTTCACTCGGTGGTGAAACCCTGTGTCTATCAAATACAAAAAATTAGCCGGGCGCAGTGGCACGTGCCTGTAAACCCAGCTACCTGGGAGGCTGCAGCAAGAAAGCCCTTGAACCTGGGAAGCAGAGGTTGCAGTGAGCTGAGATTGCACCACTGCACTCCAGCCTGGGCAGCAAGAACAAAACTCAGTCTCTGGGGGGAAAAAAAAAAAAATCCACTCAGATTGTTTTTATGGGGGGAAAAAAACCCGCCTCCCCACCAAGCCTGATGTCATCAGTTATCATTACAGCACTGAAGATCTCCACATTTGGAAAGTGAGAGAAAATGGGAGCAGGATTTAAATAACTTCTCTATGTCTGTGTCTGTGTGCACACCTAATCCTAATCCTGAACGAACACCACACCAGTCAGCCCAACTCTGGCTTAGCCCAGGCTTCAGCAGAATGCCTCCTTCTAAACGTTTAACTTGGAATCCAATCACTCCCCATGGGAAGCTCACGACGCTGGAACTTATGCCACTCCAGGTGCCAAAGCCCCGAAGCGAGTCTTTCTTAGCAAATGAGTCTCAGCTTCTCGAGGGGGAGGTTTTCTTGACGTGGTTGCTTTTATCCAGCCAGCTATGTTGATTGCTTTCACTACCTCCTCCCCAGCTTCTTCCTGACTTTATTGGAAGTAATGTCCAGAGGGAAGGAAAATGTAGTGAGTTCCTCCTATCCTCAGCTTGCAGGCCCTGCCCCCAATGGGAAGCAAAGAGAAGCTGAAGGGCCCCCTCCTTGGCCCCTTGAGAGCTGGAGCCGACAGCAGCAGCCTGTAGTATCGCACAGACAGAGCCTTCAAGAGAACAGCCTGCTGGTCAGAGTTTAGCTAAGGGTCAGTGTTTGGTTAACAAATAGGCTGGGCCAGGCGCCGTGGCTCACACCTGTAGTCTCAGCACTTTGGGAGGCCGAGATGGGCAGATCGCGTGAGGTCAGGAGTTGGAGACCAGTCTGGTCAGCATTGTGAAACCCCATCTCTACTAAAAATATAAAACATAGCCGGGCATGGTGGCGCGTGCCTGTCATCCCCACTGCTCAGGAGGCTGAGGCAGGAGAGTCACTTGAGCCCAGGAGGTGGAAGTTGCAGTGAGCTGAGATCACACCACTGCACTCCAGCCTGGATGACAGAGCAACACTCTGTCTCAAAAAGAAATAGGCAGGACATTCAGAGCTTGAATTTCAAAGGGAAGAGGCGGGGAATGCAGAGTAGACACCGGACAAGAATGAACTTTGGCAGAAGGGGCACATGGCTCCTGGTTGCAGAGGAGCTAGTTGTGTGGACGCTGGTGCCAGGGCTAGCCCACAAGCCAGACAGTGAGGACAGGGTTGCTGAAATGGCCAGGAAACCTTGCCACGCAGAGAAGCACGGGGTGGCCCTCCAGTGCAGTGACCCGGGGCTCCTGCCCGGGACATCCTGCATGCAAAGCCCACCATGGACTGACCCCTAGCATCCGAAGACCCTTAAAACCAGCTCCACACTCCACACGCAGCTACTCTCCCCACTCCCTGCAGGGGACATTGCAGCCAGTTCTGAAGCATGTGCATTTCAAACCAGTGTAAATTATCCTTGGAAGAAAACCCATAGGACCTTTAGACAAGGAGCTGAATTGAATTCATAAGAAAGAGAAAGTTAGCTCTTATGTTAGGATAAATGTTAATAACAAATATCGAGAATAACATCTGTTGTTTATGTGCCTTTTTTCTAGTGGACACACTAGGATTTGTTTTTTAAGAGACAGGTCCCTATGTTGCCCAGGCTGGTCTTGAACTCCTGGCCTTAAGTGATCCTCCCACGTTAGCCTCCCAAAGTGCTGGGATTATGGGTGTGAACTACTGCATTTCGCCTAGAACTTTTTAAAGTTGAGCTTGTTGTAACTCAAGAAAGTCGCTGCCGTAGCCTGCCATAGCAAGTATGAAACCGCCTTCGCAGAATCCAGCCTTGTGCACACCATCTCTCCAAGATACGTGTTTAGTCTGGGCAGGGATGGGGCTCCCCGGGCCAACTTGTTTGTGAATTTCATCCTCCTGAGGCTCTGGGTCATCTCTGCCTGGGCTTCCTTCTGCTTCATTTTTGGAGGTGCTAAATACTCCTCCCAGCCCAGGGTTGGTCCCTCCCCAAGTTCCATGGCGGGTGTATCAGGAGCAGGTTCCAGGCGCAGCCCAGAACACCCATCCACTGTGTTAACACTGTGCGTGCCTCTGTCTCTTCACTCCTTGCTGCTGGGAATCCTGAACTCTTGAGAGCATGCACATTGTTCATCGCCCCACGTCCCCTCCCCACTGCCTGTTCCCAGGTCTCCTGCAAGTATATAAACTACCACAGGGGACATGCCTCTGTCACCATTCTTGGTGTCTGTGTTGAAACATTCACTGGAGCTCTCTCTGCGAAGGCTTGCCACCTGCCTCACGAGGAAGTCACCGGTGGCTTTTCTTTCCGTCTGCCTCCTCCTCCTCCCCGCTGGATCGAGGTCTTTCTCTGTCCCAGGCCGGCCAAAGCAGAGCACGTGTACCTGGAGGCCAGCTGGGAAGATCTGGGGCCTGGGACTCAGCTTCAGGCCCTCACCTTGCTCTGGCTGGCCCCTGGCCCCTGGCCCCTGGTCCCTGGTCCCTGCCTTACTCATGGTGCCATCACGCACATCTGCTGTCTGAGCTCATGTATTGCATTGAGCTTTTGGACCTGACAAGTGGCCAGTGAATTCCACTCCCCTCATGTGACTTACACGCACCCCAGGTTCTTCCCACTCCTGATCCTATGTCCCTTCCCCAACACTGGCCGCTGGGCCGGGGCCCCAGCTGGGACTGTGTGCCTAAGACCCTGCGGACCGTGAGCTGCGTGAGGACAGAAGCGTGGCTTTCATCTCCGCACCGTCCCCACGCTGCATCTGGCAGGTGGGAGGGAGTCCAGGGTCGAACTGCAGCTGCGTTAAGTATTCCAATGGTGTCTTGCAGTGTTCCGCCAACTGTGGTAAAGGCGCGCGGAAACGGACCGTGACGTGCACCAACTCCCAAGGGAAATGCGACGCATCCACAAGGCCGAGAGCCGAGGAGGCCTGTGAGGACTTCTCAGGCTGCTACGAGTGGAGAACCGGGGACTGGTCCACGGTGAGAGCGGCCTGCTGGTGTTTCTCTCTGTGCCGCAGTGCAGGGGGCTCGGGGGTCGGGAACCCGGCCCTTGGGATGGGTCCCAATTCCAGGCAGCAGTCCCAGTGTAACTAGGCACATTCACTTTTCTTCCACCTACTGTGCCTACCCCGGACCCCGTGTGCTTCCTCCCTGCTTCTGCCGCAGGCTGCACCAGCACTGCCCCCTGGGGCTGACTGGGAGCACCCCACTGCTTCACGGGCATGCAGAAGGAACCCAGATGCAGCCCAAGGCAGGACACGGGTGCCCTGGATGCTGGGCTTGTCACGCTGTGCGGTGCACCGGCAGGCCCCAGCCTCCTGCCCTGGGGACACTTGGGCAAACATTCACTCGCAGGAGCAGATAGGACATGGGGCCCTGGGGTGGGAGCAGGGAGGGGCATCACAGAGCTGCAGCGTCAGCACTCAAAGGAGCAACGGTGGATAAAGGGCCATTGAATGTTTCTCCAAGTCAAAAAAAAAAAAAAAAAATGCTTTGTTGTTTAACCCCTCTTATACCCTTTCATCTGATGTCTTTGAATGACTCCTGTATTCTGGGAACCAAGGTAAGCACCACCGCCACCTGTAAGAACCTTGTAGTGGGTTTTCTGTTTTCATTTTTTTAAATTGTACTTTAAGTTCTGGGGTACATGTGCAGAACGTGCAGGTTTGTTACTTTGTTACATAGGTATACACGTGCCATGGTGGTTGGCTACATCCATCACCTCGTCATGTACATTAGGTATTTCTCCTAATGCTATCCCTCCCGTAGCCTCCCAACCCCCGACAGGCCCCGTGTGTGACGTTCCCTTCGCTGTGTCCATGTGTTCTCGTCGTTCAACTTCCATTTATGAGTGAGAACATTCGGTGTTCGGTTTTCTGTTCTTTTGTTAATTTGCTCAGAATGATAGTTTCCCGCTTCATCCATGTCTGTGCAAAGGACATCAACCCAACCTTTTTTATGGCTGCATAGTATTCTATGGTATATACGTGCCACATTTTCTTTGTCCAGTCTATCATTGATGGGCGTTTGGGTTGGTTCAAGTCTTTGCTATTGTGAACACAGCTGCAGTAAACATGTGTGCATGTGTCTTTATAATAGAATGATTTATAATTCTTTGTGTAATATCCAGTAATGGGATTGCTGGGTCCAATGGTATTTCTGTTTCTAGATCCTTGGGAAATCACACACTGTCTTCCACAATGGTTGAACTAACTTGCACTTCCACCAACAGTGTAAAAGTGTTCCTGTTTCTCCATGTCCTCTCCAGCATCTGTTGTCTCCTGATTTTTTAATGATCACCATTCTAAGTGGTGTGAGATGGTATCTCAATGTGCTTTTGATTTGCATTTCTCTAATGACCAGTGATTATGGGGGTTTTCTTCATATGCTTATTGGTTGCATAAATGTCTCCTCTAATGATCAGTGATGATGAGCTTTTTTTCATATATTTGGTGACTACATAAGTGCCTTTTGAGAAGTGTCTATTCATTTCCTTCGCCCACTTTTTGATGGGGTTATTTTTTTCCTAAAAATTTAAGTTCTTTGTAAATTCTGGATACTAACCTTTTGTCAGATGCGTAAACTGCAAAAATTTTCTCCCATTCTGTAGGTTGCCTGTTAAATCTGATGATAGTTTCTTTTGCTGTGCAGAATCTCTTTAGTTTAATTAGATACCATTCATCTATTTTGGCTTTTGTTGCCATTTCTTTTGGTGTTTTTGTCATGAAGTCTTTGCCCATGCCTATGTCCTGAATGGTACTGCCTAGGTTTTCTTCTAGGGCTTTTGTGGTGTTAGGGCTTATGTTTAAATCTTTAATCCATCTGGAGTTAGTTTTTGTATAAGGTGTGAGGAAGGGATCCAGTTTCAGGTTTCTGCATATGGCTGGCCAGTTTTCCCAACACCATTTATTAAATAGGGAGTCCTTTCCCCATTGCTTATTTTTGTCAGGTTTGTCAAAGATTAAATGGTTGTAGGTGTGTGGTGTTACTTCTGAGGTCTCTGTTATGTTCCATTGGTCTATATCTCTGTTTTGGTACCAGTACCATGCTGTTTCGATTACTGTAGCCTTGCAGTATAGTTTGAAGTCAGGTAGCATGATGCCTCCAGCTTTGTTCTTTTTGCTTAAGATTGTCTTGGTGACATGGGCTGTTTTTTTGGTTCCATATGAAATTTAAGGTAGTTTTTCCAATTCTGTGAAGAAAGTCAATGGTAGTTTGATGGGGATAGCATTGAATCTATAGATTACTTCGGGCAGTATGGCCATTTTCACGATGTTGATTCTTCCTAACTAAAGGAGATAGGGACTCAAAAAAGTGAATACAGGAGCTGGTTTTTTGAAAAGATCAACAAAATGGATTGACCACTAGCCCAAAGCAATAAAGCTGAGGCTGTCAGTCCATTTTTCCCCAAAATCAAACAGGGATGCCACACAGTTACTTGAATGTTACTAAAGCTTAGCGTGGAGCTGCCAGGATGTACCTTACACTGGCAGAGAAACCTAACTTCAAAACTCTCACAAAAGAGATGTGTGCTTTGGCTGGGCACAGTAGTTCACACCTGTAGTCCCAGCACTTTGGAATGCCAAGGCAGGAGGATCGTTTGAGCCCAGAAGTTCAAGACCAGCCTGGGCAACATAGGGAGACCCTGTCTCTACAAAAAAAAAAAAAAAAAAAAATCAAAAAAATAGCTAGGCATGCTTTAGTCCTAGCTTCCTAAGAGGCTGAGGCAGGAAGATCACTTGAGCAGGGACGTCAAAGCTACAGTGAGCCATTATTGTGCCACTGCGCTCCAGCTTGGTCAACGGAGCAAAACCAAAGAAAGACAGAGGGAGGGAAGGAGGGAGGGAAGAAAAATGCAGTTCGAACCAGGAGAACTTGAACTCATGCAAGAGAAACATTAAGGGGCTGATTTATAGCTCTGACTCTCCACTTCTATGCCTTAACCTCTCTGACCCTCGGTCTCTTTATCTCTGAAATGGGAATCATAAACACGGGCCCTGCCTGTTTCTCAGAGATGCTTAGAGGTTTCAAGATGCTAATATATGTGTCTAAGTCCTTTGACAACTAAGCCCATTTCATTTCATTGCCCAAAGTCCACCACCCAGTATTCACACTGTTTGGGGCACAGTCCCCAGGGTTAATCCGTTCTGATCTGACCTAACCCTGTCTTATCAGTAGGGCTTCCGGCCTTGTGTAGACAACACTGAGAAATTCTCTGTCCAAGCACACCCAGACTCAGCTTGAAAAAGGTCGCTGATCCTAGCTTAGAGACATGTAAGTGAGCTATCAGCACACCAGGTTCTGATTCGTAAGCAACATGTTCACAAATGTTCAGGCTCGTCTAAAGAATTGATGATTACCTTACACCTTCGTGGTTTGAGTATCCAGAAGATGTAGAAGGGGAAGCTGCCTAGCACAGTAACAGGCAGAATCACGTTGTTTGGACACAAGTGTTCAGATGTGAACTGGAATAAAGTGTCATTGTCATCGGGGAATTGGAAGGGTCCTAGCAGCCACGCCGTCTATGCAGCCTGTACTGTTGTTGGCACCTGTGCCCACAGGGGTCCCGGGACAAGAGGCACAGGCGAGGAGCGGTCAGTTCCAGGCCTGATCCACACCTGCCCATCTGGGGTTGGGGGATCTAGCACAGCTTTCCTTTGGGCGGGGTACCCCATGCCTCACATCACTGGCCCCCTCTAGCCAGGAAATGAAGGCTCAGAGCAGTGACCCGACTCGCCCACACTCCCCAGCAGAGTCCAAGCTCTTGGACCCAGTTCAGTGCTCAGGCTGCTAGGCGGAAACTGAGCAGGAAGGGACCGGGGAGGCACTGTGATGGTGCCTGTGAGCCAGCAGTGTCCTGTAGATGGTCCTTGAACTCCAGGGCCTGGCTGTCCTCAGCATGACCATTCCGGTTTTGAGGACTAGCTGGACACTTGCTTTCTTAAGTACCTTCACCTTCCTGGTACAAGGAGCCGCACACCAAGCAAAGGATGGATGGGAATAACACAGGAGTCACTCCGCAGCCCTGCCCAGACCTGGTGCTCACGTATCGCGTGGCTCACTCAGCCCGGGAGCCTTCCCTCCATTGCTGTTTGGGGTCCGTCCCCGGCCGAGAACACTGCGCCAGTTTCCCCAAACAGACCTTCAGCCTTCCGGAAATGCCTGTCGGATGAGAGGGAGCTTTTCGCCTGGCCATCTTCTCTTCACCAGCCATGCTGTGAATGACGCTCACAGGCTTTCAGAAGAGTGCAGCGTTGGAGCCACTGTGCCCACTTTTGCCACAGCCCATTTGACAAGCTGTCCCCGCAGTAAGAACAAGAGGGATTTGTGGGATGCGAGGGCCTCCGTCACGTCTTGGTCGCTGTAGGAGTCCACCTTGCGTTGCTTTAAAGGAATGCCTGAGACTGGGTCATTGACAGAGGTTTCCGTGGCTGGTGGTTCTGCAGGCTGCGCAGGAAGCTCCGTGCTGGCATCTGCTTCTAGGAGGCCTCAGGAGGCTTTACCTGCAGCAGAAGGTACAGCTGGCATGTCACATGGTGAAAGAAGGAGCAAGACAGAGAGAGGGGCGGAGGTCCCAGACTTTTTTAAGCAACCAGCTCTTGGTGAACTAACAGAGCGAGAACTCACTCACGACCATGGGAAGGGCATCAAGCCATTCCTGAGGAACCTACCCCGTGACTCAACCTCCTACCAGACCCCGCCTCCAACACTGGGGTTCACATTTCAGCATAAGATTTGGAGGGGACAGACATCCAAACTGTATCAGCCACTGTCCGGAGCTGGCATCGGATGACATCTGATTGTATGCAGCGAGCTGCTGTGGAGAGAGCTTAGCAAGGGCCTCCAGCCAGAGCCTGGACCTGGGGCTGAGCTGCGGGAAGGCTGGTTTTACCCAGCAGAGAGGGCCCGCAGAGACGGGAGTCTGGACTTGGCACGTGTGTGTGTGGTATAGCCAGAGCACGCTGGTGGGGGCTGCACAG